TTGCGGGTCGGCTCCAGAGGATCAACATTTCGGGATCATAAAGAGCTATCGACGAATCGATCTAGAACAAACAGTTTGGGTGGGGTTTTGAGGCAGCTGAAGTTTTGAAATTGTGAGAGTGTATTCATTTAATACTTGTCTGCATGCATTTGTAATGTGCGAATACTTGGTTGTCTATGATTAATGCTGGCCGGCCATAGCAAAAGCTTTTCTTCAGGGCTCGGATTCTTAGATCTGTTGGATCCTGATCATGCTAGGAGACTGCAAAGATCTTTTTCGAGAAGCAGGTTGTCGAGAGGTGCCTTAGCTGAATCGATTTTATTCGATTTTCAATCAGCCGATCTTTGGCAAAATTCTAAGATTTCAAGTGGCCGGCGTCAGGGTATATCTATGATACCACTGAAAATAGGAGAATTTACCAGTAGTACCGCACAAGGCGGTGGCGGAAGTTTCAAAAATAGGAAACCTATAGGAGAGATTGGTTGTTGTGAATCACGGATGGCAGAGCGAATCCACTGATGGATCGAAAGGTGGTTGGAGCTGTGTTTTTTGGAGTGGCTGCAATGGTTGCAGTGGTCACCTGGTCGGTCACCTCACCCACAACGCTGGATGTAGTGTGGTGTAGTGCAGCTGTAGTTGTAGTTGTAGTGTAGTGGAGTTGTAGTTATGATGCAGTGTAATTATTGTAGTGCAGTTGCAGTTGCATTTGTGGTGGTCTCTTGAGTGTAATGTAATGTTATGTAATGCAATGTGGGGTAGGGTAGTGTAGTGTAGTGTAATGGAGTGTAGTGTGGCGTGGTGTGGCGTGGTGTGGCGTGGTGTGGCGTGGTGTGGCGTAGTGTAGTGTAGTGTGGTGTAGTGGAATGCAATTAGTGTAGTGTAGTGTAGTGTAGTGTAATGCAATTAGTGTAGTGTAGTTGTAGTTGTAGTTGCAGTTGCAGTTGTAGTTGTAGTTGTGGCTGTAGTTGTGGTGTAGTGTTTTGTAATGTATTGCAGTTGTAGTTGTAGCTGTAGCTGTAGCTGTAGTTGTAGTTGTAGTTGTAGCGTAGTTGTAGTTGTAGTTGTAGTTCTTGTAGTGTAGTGTAGTGTAGCGTAGTGTAGTGTAGTGTAATTGAGTGAGTGTAGTGTAGTTGTAGTATAGTGGAGTGTATGTAGTGAGGTGTAGTGTAGTGTAGTGCAGTGGAGTGGGGTGTAGTGTAGTGTAGTGCAGCCTAGTGTAATGTAATTAGTGTAGTCTAGTGTAGTGTAGTCTTATGTGGTTGTAGTTGTAGTTAGTGTGATGTAGTGTCATTAGGGTAGTGTAATGCAATGTAGTGTAGTTGCAGTTACAGTTGCAGTTGCGGCTGTAGTTGTAATTGTAGGTCTAGTGCAGTGTCATTCAGTGTAGTGTAGTGTAGTGGAGTGTAGTGGAATGTAGTGTAGTTTAGTGTAATGCAGTGTAAATGTAGTATTGTTGTAGTTGTAGTTGTAGTTATAGTTAGTGTAGTTTAGTGTGGTGTAGTGGAATGTAGTGTAGTGTAGTGTAATGTAGTGTGGTGTAGTGTAATTGAGTGTAGTGTAGTGGAGTGGCTTAAAGCGTACATAATGTCATGGCTTTTTCGACATGAAATTGACTTTCCAATATGTTATCTAGAATGATATAACTTGTTTCATACTCCTGGAATCCGGGATAAAATCATAAACCTATACTTGGCCAACAAAAGTTTGCCTCAAGATGCCCGCAACAGTGTTGTTTGCTTCGCTGTGACTGGTTGACATCACTTGTAATCTGCACCAACTACAAGCGCATCGACACAATCCAATCTGGTACAATTCTTGCGATCACTGAGTTGTACCGGTATTTATCTGGATACATTGAAACATGAGAGCCGATGAGTAAAACATACACGCATAATCAATGATCCAACAATGTTTAAACATGATTAAACACATGCAAACATGGGGAATTACAAAATGAAATCATTCAAATATGGAGTTCAAAAACACAACTTTTTGACACATGATTATATAAACCAATGATAAATATTGATAAAAAAACAAAGACAAGTAAACCAGTGAACAACGGGAAAAAATCAAACGCTCGAAACACATGTGCTTTCATGTGTTTTGATGTGTTTTCATGTGTTTTCCAGATTTTGTGCGTTTGGGCCTTTCCCTGTGGGTGGCAAGAGCTTGGGGCTGAGCGGAAACTAGAATGTGGTACCTGGGGACTGGGCGCTGTGGGGATTGGATTGGTAGCAAATTTCAGGCTAGAAATTGTTGGCTCTGGTCTTCAGACTCCAGCCTCAGACTCCAGACTCCGCCGCAGACTCTAATGTAGACTCTTCAAGCAAGATTGAGTTCACCCTTGCAAACTATTATTACTTATCTTGACAGCCTAGCAGAATTAAATCCACGCAGTTAGAAGAATATGCGCCCCCACTTAGAATATTGACACCTACAATATTCCAAAACTGGATCAATCCCTTCGACGCGAATGGACATCTTGCTCTTTTCCCCATGCTGCTGTACGTTCCAGTTCATTTTGTCTTCAAATGCCGCCAACGCAACTATGCCCCTTTGAGTACGTAGCGTTTACTTGTGTTTACCAAATCACATTGCCATGAAGGCAAATGCCACACTTCAAGAAGCAATGTTTTATTGATATCTTCAGTGTCAAATATGTTAAGTGCAAGAAAAATAATGCAGATAGAATATATTTTTTTTGGCCCGAAACAGGGTTTTGGAGCTCAAGGAAAAAAAACAACGTATTCTATGCAAGACCGTTCTTCTAGTTTGAAGTACTTTAGCGATCGCACCAGAAATTATGCAAAAACACGAATGGAGGCCATCTGAAAAACAAGGAAATTATGAACAGGTTAAACATGGCTGGACACAAGGGAATGACCAAAGCATCGAAAAAGTAATGAAACGCGGGATGCACAACTCATGAGTATAAAGGTATATAGAGTGACAACCCAGGCGATACACAAGTGCAAACATTAATACGATGCAATTTCGAGATCTTGGCTGCCAGAAATTCTCTTATCATTGGGACTTCAATTTGGTCAAGGGATTCAGGTTTGCCAAATCGGGTGCTGGGGTCAACAGCGCCCATGTTGCAAAACAACTGGTGGATTTTCTATAGGCGTTGCTTCCGTAGCCGGCCCAAATTACTATGACTATGACAGACTGCTCTTACAGATGGTCCTAGAGTGCTACTGTCTTAGGTTAGTACACTTACTCAGATCAAGTCCTTCCAGGTAGGTGGCCATGGCAGCTGGTAATGTAATGAGAAACCTTCCTCCATGATCTTTCTCCATCTTGTGATCAGGGCTCATACCAGCACTACCGGAAGAGTCACATGCTTTGAAGTCCTTGCCCTGCAGCGAAGTGCCTGCACTCCCGAGCACTTCCTATAGTTTCGTGTATGTTTTGTGTCTGTGTGGTGTCAAGGTGTGTGAACCGCCAAGGAAGAAGATGGACGAGAACTTGCAGCAGACCTTGAACAGTGCATTGGATGACTTCATGGAGAATCCAGCTGATTCTACAGAGTCCAAGGCCACTTTGTGAGCACAGGGCAGGGCCTGACTCGGCCTGAGGGTGTTGGAAGTTTTTGCCCGAAGTTTTGGTGGACGAATTGGGGTCCTGAGTTCACAAAAAGTTCCCGCCTTTCATTTGTCGCCCAGTTGTTTCCTTCTTTCGCCTTTCCAGATTGGGTGGTTCATGCTTTGAGGCTGAGGAATCGAAGCATGATACATTTGATACATCCTATTCGTTTCATCACCTTGGGAGGTGTCATAACACAGAGGAATGGATGCAGCAGTTCGGTTTTGTGTGCCGTTGAAATCAGAAGGTTCTTGGGGCAAAACGTCAAAATCAGGTTTCAATGGCATGAGAGCTATGGCTATGTCTGACATATCAAACTGAACAATCCCTTGGGGGATTGTGCCCAAGATGACCATAGATGACCCACCCCACATTCTAAAGGGTGGAAGGACCATGAACGACCAACCTGGAGGATCCCTGGGGGCAACTCTGCCCAAGTCATCTCAATTCATCTCAATTCTCTGTTCAGGATTTGTCTAGAGTGTAGAGATGTCTAGAGTGGTGTCAAGTGAAAAGCACAATGAAAAGTCAGTTGTGTAATCAAGGACTCATGAACCAGTTGGGCAAGTTTTCATGAGACCCGGTTGTGGGTTCCTTGGTATATGAACCTGATCCGGCTGGCAGCACAGTAGTGCACTAAATTTGGAATGGTTTGAACAAGGTTCTAGATTTTGTCCCTGCTGAAGCGTGTGAAGTGTTACAGTGTATATATATATATGATTATATATATATATATATATTATATATATAGAGTGAATACTTGTAGCTTTTGACGAAGACCCATGCCAAGACAAAATCATCACATATCGACATGAAATTCTCAAACCTTCTACGACAGGGAGCATCACAGACCATCGAAGCATATCGAAACACAGAACATCGCAGAACATTGCAGAACGTTTTCTGGAAAGGCTCCGCCCTCCTCAGTCCTGGGTGACGACGACGATGATGCGGGGTTGGGGTTCTGAGCCAAAGATTTCACAACTGTGGTAAGGCCCTCTTGAATGATGAACAACATGAGATTTCTGAAGTGTTTCTTGATTCTGTTGCCTTTTGTCATTCTTTGTGTCGCATACAGTTGCTGTATTTCGCAGATTTTCCAAGAGAGTCAACGGCCTGGATCCTCGAACCCACTCCATTTCAGCCAAAAGCTCTGTGCGGCTCAGCGCATCGACAATAGCCTGGAGTCAAACTCCATGTCATGGTACATCAGTGGTACATCAATGGCACATGAATCCTACATCAATGTACATCATGAAGTCTTACTTCTAGAAACAGCAAGGCTTCCGTGAACTTGCATACGAAGTCATGTGAGCGAACATGAAAGACCAAGCATTCACATTCGCTAGCTTGCTGTGGCTTGTCATGCACAGATCTTGACCTGGTAGAGTTTTGGCTCGACAGACAACCGGTGTCATGGTCAGCGTGGACGTGCTGAAGCGCGACCAATGGGAAGAAGAAAATGCTGTTTTCGCGATCAATCCGATGGGTCTGCCGCTGAAAGAGCTCCGACGCCTGAAGGCAGGATTCAATGAAGTTCAATGAAGTTCAATGAAGCGATACTAATGCAATACTTAGCAATGCGAACTCAATGCACGCAGTGCAGGCCAAGTTGTATGGCTGTAGCCCGCTGTAGGATCAGTTTCAAGATGAAGAGGGTCAGCCCGTGAAACTGGACGAACAGCCCGACACTGAGAGCCACCTTGCTGTAAGAGTCACGCGAGTCACGCGAGTCACGCGAGTCACGCGAGTCAAGCGAGTCAAGCGAGTCACGCACTAATTCAAACTATTGAATGTCTTGAATGTCTTGAATTCTCTACGTATTCAATAGCATTCTCTAACTATTTGATCCAAAGTCTTCCGCCTCCCAAGGAAGTTTGTGGATGCCTTGCTTTCTCGGCTGAGCTCCGCAGGAACTTCCCAGAATGAGCTTTTGCCCAAGACCAGACCAAGTCCACACGGAAGCATTACCAAACGTCTCAACGCATCCCAGTGCCAAACGCATCGCCATATCTCAGAATTTGGATTGTGGAATGCCCTGAGGCGACAGCGTTGGGACTCCGAGCTGCGAACTTTGTTCAAAAAGATCGACGCTGGATGTTCAGAGACCGTGACTTGGGAGGAGTCTTGGTGACACTCTTAGTGTATGTTGGTATGTCTCATCTAAAGTGATGTGAAATAATTATCTGGTATTTCATCCAGCTACAAATTTTATTGCTGTTTACGATTACGGCTGGTTGTAGCAGACGTGTGGATTTATATACTGGAAAGAGAGAAGCCAAAGGTGCGCAGACTGCAAGCTTGAACAAACATCGATGGACCTAGAGTACCCCACCTGGAATCTATGGACTTGAGCAACTCAGACCTCATCTCCAAGCAAAGGCTAAACTGGGCCGAAGCACTTCGTCTTAGTCCCACAATGTAAAGAGTATTTGCACGCAGTTTTCATTTTTGTCTTCTCGTAATTTGCATTGGCAACCAATGATGTAGTGATGCAGGAGTTTACAAACTACATGCTCTTCCATGTTCCCGGCTTCAATTCTGGTGATGGTGCCTGTGAGCGTGGTCCTCATGGTCGTCATGTTGGGAGTGGGAGCACTGAGCAATGACGGCAATGAGTAGGGACTACTTAGATCTACTTATAGATCTACTTAGTTGGCTCAGTTGTCTGTGCAGTCTGTACGTTCTGTGCATTCTGTGCGTCTGGGGATGGCTGCGGGTGCCACGAGGCTTTCACACAATGCTGCCGCGGCCGAAGCTCTGGCTGGCGCCTGGCAGTGTGGCCATGCGGACTGTCCAAGCATGTCGCAATAGCAGTCGTGAAGCATCTCCAAGCATCAAGCAATAGCATGCAGTGAATGCAAAAGATGCCGCAAATGTTTGTGCATTCTCGAGTCACGACCGCATCTCAGAATCTCAGAAGGAATGGCATCATCTGTTTTTTTAGATGTTTTTTGATTTGTTCATCAGGACATGATCAACAACATTGCTGTTGTTCCAGACCTTGGGACTGGCGCCGGTGGTGTGCGATACTAAGTTTTGCGCACAAATCACGGATGCCGTTCCGCTACGGAAAAGAAAAGATGATCGTGAAAAATTGTCTTGATTGATGCAGTTCCGGTGATTAGCATCTCAACAGAACCCTTCTATATGTTTATCATGGTTTATCCACCCAACTCTAATTCGGAAAGTACTACATGGAGAAATACCTTGCTGTATGATGAGTTCTGATACTTATGAGTGCCATGCATAGATTCATCTTATGCCCCAGTAACATGTTTGCAACTTTCCTGATACTTGCCTTGGTGAAAGTGTGTCGGCAACCGTCTCCAAAAACGGTCCAGGCCGGAGGTAGCTCAGGCAGTGGCTCAAGAAGGCCTCTCCAATCATAAAACTTTCATACAACGTGGAAAAAAACGGTTTGCTTGATAGACACCGACCAAGATGCTGCAGATGTTCTGCAGCCTGTTTTGACCGGTGCAGTATACAGGTACATCACTGCAGGGCGTGATGGGTTTGTGAAGGACGGGGATTCTGTGCACATGCCATTGCTTGTTACCTCTTGGGGTGCTCAAGACGTGTTTGTTGACGTGAGTTCAACTGGAGTTGCTTTTCAGCCTGGAATTCACTTTGAGATCATCGTAGATCAACATTGGAAGCCGGAGCCTTTTGGTGGTCACACAGCAAAAGGTGTGGCACCCAAATCTTACCCTTCACAAAGCAATTGATGTGGCAATCTCAAAGGCCCCGGCAAATGAGAGTCACTTCAACTTGCAAAGAGTGGAACGTGGAGCGTGGTTGGATTGACCTTTGCCGACATTCGACAGAACGTGAACCATCCAGAACCTAGGTTGGCAACACCACTAGCTGGCTTTCAGCATGCTGTTGGATGCAGAAGCCGAACCTCAGTTAGAACGAGGTCAGATGTCAGAGTTACCGAAGGTCTGAGTGTAGTTGCGCTCAAGTGGCGGTCAGGTGATGTATCTAGGCCTTTGACGTCCTTTGACTGCATACAACAGCAATCAACAGCAATCAACAGCAATCAACAGCAATCAACAGCAATCAACAGCAATGAATAGTAATAGCATGTAATAGCAATCAATGGTAGTATGGACATGGCTAAGTCGAACGTAAAAACATAAACTCAGAAAGCGACTTGGGCTGACGATCGTGTCGAAAGGATGCCAAGCCGATTTTTTTCCAACTCTACTTTCATGCACAACAAACTTCTCCCCGTGAAGCTGTTTGCACCTCTTTGTTCCGGTGTTAGTCAAGGTCAAGAAAGTTGGCAGTTGCCTCTTCAAGTGGTAACTTAGAGTGACCGAGTGCGCGAGCACTGTGAACTCTCCATTCTTTGCCATTTCAGGAAAGCATTGTAGAATATCGTAGAAAGCATCGCAAATTGTCAATGCACCTTGCTATGCACGCCTTGCTGTGTCTTGCTATCCAAGCCTCAAAGCAACAAATTTCCGAGGCTTCCGGATCTTCTTCTACGATAGCTCTTTCAGCAGAGCCCCAAGTCGGCCCAAGTCACAAAGACCCGGCCGTGAAATCCCTCAGAATCCTTCAGAAATTGACAGGTCAGATTACTCACATTGACCACAAGGATGGGACGTCAGCATCCTACCAGAGTGCAGAATCGAGAGTGGACGAGGGATGGTACCAAGTCTCACTAGTTTTAGATCAAGTCAAGGCGTGATTCTCCGAGGCCTCTTTGTTTGGGATACACTGAGCCTGCCACCAAGACGTGATGTTCTGAAGCTGAACAAAGCAAGAAGATCTAGGACAAGTTGAGAAATAGATACAAAGATCATCAAAGATCTTGATGTTTCAAGCTTCATTTTGTAGAGTTCACTCCGGTTCACTCAAGGACACACGAAAACAAAAGCCCGGAGAAAGAGATTCTCATGGTCGGCCTCCGCCCCAGATGGTACTATTGCGCAGGTCGTTCTGGGGTGGATATTATTTGCGGCAGGTACTTAATAAATCTTAATAAAGTATAAAGCCGCAAGAGCTCCTAGCCGGATTCGCTCTGGAGACCTGGGTTTCAAGCTATGAATCTGACGGATCCTTATAAATCTTACGTGGCTGCAGATGCATTCTAATCGATTCCAGATGGTAGCTGCGGAACCGGCGGGTAGCCAACACATATCATTTGGATTCATTCGGCTAGATTCTAGATGTTCGACAACCCCGATGCAGAGTTGCTGCACAGCTCGAGCTTCTGAGTAAACAATAGTAAACATCAATGAAGATCTTGAGGGAAAGTGACGCTGACCGGCTAACCGAAATGATCCTGTAGGAACGTTCATACTTGGTTCGTACATGATTTGTAATCAATTGGATGATCTATTACTCCTCCTGCTCGCATAGAAAAAGCAGAATGCAAAACAGGAGTCAGGAGGCAGAATTGTGTTGGAAACATCTGCAGAAGGCACATTGGCATGTAGGAAAGAAAAGGAAAGCATTCCAGAGCGCAATTTCTGAATTGCAAGGTGTACTTGTAGCCTCAGAGAAGTAATCAGTTTCTCATATGATGACACCACCCTTCAATGTTAAGTTGAATGCTCATTTTGTGAATGTTTTTTGTGTAACGATGCGTAATCTGTCCGCCGCAGATCTGTTTCTCTTTCTGTGGCCTGTATACTTGTCCTCTTCACCCAATACTTTTCCCATCCGTTTGATTTTATGGGTTTCAAGTTAATTTCTTTTCATCTTCTTTCTGTTTACGTTTTTCTTTTACTGGATCTTTCCCCTGTTTCCTTCTGCAGTGCTTTTTCTAGTCACAGTCCTCTGATTGTTTTTTGTGGACAAGGCTTTGCAAAGGAAGAGTCGAGGTGATTCAGATCGGGTTGAGATCTGTTTAAGATTCTGTGGAAGGCACCACGATATCTTTGCATCTCTTTTCCTTTCTTCGTTTTGCTTGTCTTCCTTTGTGGATTCGTGTCATGGTCTCGCCTGCGCAAGTACCTGAAAACATGGTGATTTATGATCTGATTGAATTATGTAATATAATTTGGTATACATACTGGTACGGCAGGTTTGATGTTCAATGTGATACCCGTGACTGAACTTGTGGATGTGACGCTACTTGTATATGTTTTTGACATAGGACCAATACAACTGTGCTTGATACATGAAGTGACAGATGATGCGATGTATTCATTTTGTCACTTCAATAAATCTACAATACTGGCAATACTGCAATATGCTTCCCAGACAACAGTATAGTCCCTCCATCCAACCTGGTTTTTCTTTGCTTTCTTGAACAGAAGAGTTGGAGGACGAAGAGGGAAAACATGAATGAAAGGCAATGAAAGCAAAATGAAGGCAGCCAAGATGACGAGAAAGATGAAAGGATCACCAGTGGAAAGCAAACGAAAAGAACATGAAAGGAAAGAGTTGCAAAGGAAAGCGATAAGCAGTGGAGAGCATGAAGAACATGCTGGGCTGAAGTGACGTTACAAGGACAAAACGAAAGGAAACTAAAGGAAACGAGAACAAGACGAACAACACGAACAAGACTACAGAAGAGAGCAAAAAAGAACATGAATATTTGAGATTTGATGGTGTGGTGCGCCTGAACGGACTGAACAGAAGTGTGAAGGCTGAAACACTTTGTGTCCAACTTTGGAGGCCCTGAAGAGAGCTACAGCCTAGCATTATGTGATCTTGTACACATATATAAGTATATGTGGGGATTGATCTAAAGGTCATGACCGTTCATATCATGTTTTGAGCCCTCGCGAAAGCTCTTTTCCTGAGTTCAAGAAAGATTTCGCGAAAGTTTCGTGAGCATTGGTGTTGTTCATGTGCTGCGCGCGCGCAGGTGCAGAGCACAGTGTGATGTTCTTGTCATACCGCAGCTTGTAACCATCTTACCACACATCTGTTTGCCGCATTTTTTTTTATGTTTTTTCTTCCTCTTGTTCTTCTTCTTCTTCTTGTTCTTCTTCTTGTTCTTCTTCTTCTTCTTCTTGTTCTTCTTCTTGTTCTTCTTCTTCTTCTGCTTCTTCTTCTTCTTCTTCTTGTTGCTGCTGTTGTTGTTGTTGGTGGTGGTGGTGGTGGTGCTGCTGGTGCTGCTGCTGCTGCAGCAGCAGCAGCATGGAAAGATTCCGTTGACAAACTGGGCATTTCTCCTCTGCTTGCTGTGTCAAAATTCCAGGCTTGACTGCTACACCAACATTGCGCGCATACTTGGCATGTTCACTAGCAGCATGGTTGGTTTCAGCTCAGACTGAGCATGATCCCCTGGTTTGGCATGCTTCGGAGGTGGCATCCTTCCAGTCTTGCCAGGATCTGATCTTTTGGTGAATAACGCTTTTTGAACCTGAGCTCGCTCATCCCTGTTTGCAGATGCAGCAGACTTGGGAAGTGCTTTGGCCTTGGCCGCAGCGGTCTGGGCATGGTTTTTAGTCATCTCTCTGGCACGTGGGTTCAGCGCCTTGATCATGATAGGTATCTTCCTCTTGTTGTGATCAACAAAGTGCATTTGATCGTGTTCACCTCTTACACTGGCCAAAAACAAAACTCCTGTGCCCCCGGAAAATTCAATCTCTTCAATCGTCCATCCTTCAGGTGATAGCATATCATGTAACCCCTGCAAACCAGCTGAGGACGTGTTGTTGCTGGCTCGGAAACGGCCCCATTTATGCTTGTCACTCATGTTGTATTTGACTGCATATGCGTTCATCTCTTCAGTGCAATTGAAACGGAGACCATAGCGAGGACCGCTGGCACCCGGTTTTTTCCTTTGCTACAAGTTGTAAAGCATCGCTATGCGGAATCTGTTCAGGAAGCCAAATGGTCTCAAGCGTATCAGCAACCGGGTCAGTTGAGTGCATGATCCTGGCCGCTCGCTCTGAGCGAATCTTGGACCATCAACATAGCAGTATTGTGCTGTCTGGCATTCACATCGACGAAATATGAATATGCTGGGTTGATATGCTTGCTGACGGCATCAGCGACGATTCTTCCTGTGAGTTCACCTTCTTGAAGTCCTGTTGGAAGGTCCAATCTGCGTGGTGACTATGGCGCATGGTGCTTGCGTATACCCTATGCGACGCAATACGTCAGGAACCACGTCTTTCCAACATAGCTGACACCTCCGGCGGCCGTCAACTCGTGAGGATGGCATGTACGCGCAGTCCATTCACCTGGTTCAAGGACTGCGGCATTTTGATCCAAGCTGCTTCCGGAAGAGCCTCAAGGACCCTTGCTTTGTATTGTGTTTCGGCCGCATCTTGCAGGATCTGCTGTTCCACTTGGAGGGTTGGGTCAAAGGATTTCTTGGTTGAGAAGGTTCATAGGTAGGCTTGCCACGACCTTTTCCTTTGGCATTCTGCCGCCCTGTGTTCTGTCCACGACTTTGATTCTTTCCATTGCCACACAAAAGCATGCATGCGTCGATTTCTCATATGCTTCGGATATGCCAGGCACAGAAGGTAAAGAGACAAAACATGGGGCAGAAAGACACCAAGAAATTGTGCTGTTCAAACATCTGTTGCATCGAAGCAAGACCAAGAGTAAACACTGAGCTCAGGAAAGTTCTGATGTTGCTACCCTGGCTGAAGACCGAAAAACAAATATTGCAACACGCCGCAAAGCTGGTGATCTTCAAGAACATCTTGTTTCGACTTCTTCTTCTCCGCACCATGGGCGCTCTGGATCTTCCCGCCCGACGACAAGGGATGAGATATGCTTTGCGATTGCAGTGCTCTGCGCTATTCAACTTGACACTGAAAGAAACCAAAACTGCAAGCATGCATGGGCTCAGACAAAATTGCACACAAGCAAGAGCATCAGAGTCAATGTCAACAAATGACAGTAATCGTTTCCACACAGGAAGCGCTCTGATTCGTGACAAGCACACTGCAAGCGCCGACTCATCCCAACAATCTCCCTCACCCTCGGAATGCTTGCTGGAGACGGCTGCTTAGATGCTGAGGAGACAGAAGGGTCACGAAAGCCCAACGGATGGGGCAACCAGACCCAACTTGCAATGCAATATACATACATACATACCTACGTACGTACGTACGTGCGTACATACGTACATACATACGTACATGCGTACATGCGTACATGCGTACCTACGTACCTACGTACCTACGTACCTACGTACCTACGTACCTACGTACCTACGTACCTACGTACCTACGTACCTACGTACCTACGTACCTACGTACCTACCTACATACATACATACGTACGTACATACATATACATGTACATATACATATACATATACATATACATATACATATACATACACATACACATACACATACACATACACATATGCACATACATACATACATGCATGCATACATACATACATACATACAGACATACATACATACATACATACATACACATATATATATGTATATATATATATGTATATATATATATGTATATATATATGTATATATATATATATGTATATATATATATGTATATATATATATATATCGCAGATCGTGTGGCAAATACCTGCTATGTGAGGGACGGTGCAGCTCTGAATGTCAGGATTAAAGGGATAAAGAAACAAAGAGTGAACATCAGTCGTTCATTTTGAATCATTTTGAGGCGATGACAAGGGGTACGTCCTCTTCTGAGAAAAACCTGCATACAATGGCCTGTGTTCTTTTGAGTCATGGCTACACATTCCGATGTGTGCGTATTCAGCACATATGTTCACTGCTCTTAACTATGTCTGCAATTGCAGTTGTTTTTCTTCAAGGTGACCGTTTTCCCTTTGGATGCAGCTGACTGGGACCAAGAGCCCAAGCCTGATGGGAAGCCTGAAGGAAAACCGGGCGACGAGGGCTTGAAGATCAAAAAAGCGTCCCAAACTCAAAGAAACTCGTTGATGGGATCTCCTTTCAACTTTCCAACACACCAAAATTGGTTCTGTACACTTGCTGCAATGCGCAAACAGACCCGCGTTTCCTTGGCGCCCAACTTCGATAGATTCTTGGTAGGTCTCGCGTCAAGTACCACAAAGACTGGGTAACCAAGGCGCGTACTTTTCAATGCCAAGAGCATCTTGTTCTTCCTCTCAGAGTTTCAAGAAACAAGTCTCTTCTTGGTGTTTCCGTGCGTTCTTTGTGCGTTTCTTTCGTTCTGATATTGGCCAGGTCGGGTTTGTGTCGCAACTCCAAGCAATGGTTACCTGTGGCCTGGATGGTGAGATCAACATTTGCGATGTTCATACCAATCAGCAAGGATCTGAGAATTTGAGGCGTGTGTTTCGCAAACCATTTGTGATATCTCTGTACATTCCTTTGTTTTGCCTGACTAGACGACGGATGGCCCGAGAGCGTAGAGGAGCAGGGTCTTCTCTTGTAGGTATGGAGACGCCATATTACAAAACAATATATTAAAGATGTGTTATAGGCAGTCGAGAAGAGGAGTATCAAGACAATATAGCAGAAGTACAAGACAAAAGTTTGCATCGCAAACACTTTTACACACAGAAGCTTTTACACACTGACGTTTTTACACACAAAAGCTTTTACACACAGAAGCTTTTACACACAAAAGCTTTCACACACAGAAGCTTTTACATACAGGCACTTTCACACACAGAAGCTTTTACACAGACGCTTTTTACACACAGAAGCTTTTACACACAGACACCTTTACACACAGAAACTTTTACACACAGACGCTTTGACACACAGACACTTTGACACAGAGCACACAGAAGCTTTTAAGCAGACGCGTTTACACAAACGCTTTTACACACAGAAGCTTTCACACGCAGCACACAGAAGCTTTGTACACACAGAAAAAATCGCAATTTTACCTCAGGTTTTGGCGATCGACCCTCATCTCGTGCGAAAGGGTTGCAACGGGAACCCAGAAATCGCAATTTTACTTCAGTTTTTGGCGATCGACCCTCATTTCGTGCGAAAGGGTTGCATCGGGCCCCCGGAAATCGCAATTTTACCTCAGTTTTTGGCGATCGAACATCATTTCGTGCGAAATTGAAAGGGTTGCATCGGGAACCCGGAAATCGCAATTTTACCTCAGTTTTTGGCGACCGAACATCATTTCGTGCGAAAGGGTTGCAACGGGAACCCGGAAATCGGAATTTTACTTCAGTTTTTGGCGATCGACCATCATTTCGTGCGAAAGAGTTGCACGGGACGACTTGAACTCGCACTTTTACCTCAGTTTTTGACGATCGAACTTCGTTTCGTGCGAAAGGGTTGCGCCGGACGACTTGAACTCGCACTTTTACCTCAGTTTTTGACGATCGAACCTCGTTTCGTGCGAAAGGGTTGCGCCGGACACCTGCAAATCGCAATTCTACCTCAGTTTTTGACGATCGAACCTCATTTCGTGCGAAAGGGTCGCGCTAGACGACTTGGGAATCGCAATTTTACTTCAGTTTTTGGCGATCGAACCTCGTTTCGTGCGAAAGGGTTGCGTTTCGTGCCGTCTCGTTGGCACTGCCCCTGCCCCCGCCTTCAGAAGAGAAATAGAAAAGAAGGAGAGAGCAAGAGGGCAAGAGGGCAAGAGGAGAAGATGTGAAGATGTGATGAAGATGTGAAGATGTGAGGATGAGAAGATGTGAAGAAGAGGGCAAGAGGCCAAGAGGGCAAGAGGAGAAGATGTGAAGATGAGAAGATGTGAAGATGAGAAGATGTGAAGATGAGAAGATGTGAAGATGTGAAGTTGAGAAGATGCGAAGATGAGAAGATGTGAAGATGAGAAGATGTGAAGATGAGCAGATGTGAAGATGAGAAGATGTGAAGATGAGAAGATGTGAAGATGTGAAGATGTGAGGGTGAGAAGATGTGAAGATGAGCAGATGTGAAGATGAGCAGATGTGAAGATGAGCAGATGTGAAGATGAGAAGATGTGAAGATGAGAAGATGTGAAGATGAGAAGATGTGAAGATGAGAAAATGTGAATATGAGAAGATGTGAAGATGAGAAGGTGTGAAGATGAGAAGATGTGAAGATGAGAAGGTGTGAAGTTGAGAAGATGTGAAGATGAGAAGATGTGAAGATGAGCAGATGTGAAGATGAGAAGGTGTGAAGATGAGAAGATGTGAAGATGAGAAGGTGTGAAGTTGAGAAGATGAGATACAAACCCCCACTATTGGAAGAACCCTGCGCTCAGACGCTCTCGGGAATAGAGAGAAAAGTAGAGAAATGCTAAATGGACGCCAATGGCATTGCTACAGTTTTTGCAGCCTTCCGAGTACGTTGCTTTGCCTATGTGTGTTTGTCCAAGGCGAAAAGAGGGCCGGGACGCAGTCCGCCTCCACAAGAAAGGCAGTTTCATAATGTTCCGTATTTAAGGTCAAAATGATGCAAACACCATGCAAGCATCTCAAGATATTTAATATTAGGCATAAATGTTACCTGAACATGTTCGAAGGAGTGCACTCCTGGTGTTGGTGCAAGAGCTACAAGTTCTTCGCATCTGGAGGTGTGGGTTTCAAAGTTTCAAAGTCGAAGAGGGTAGGTTCCAGTTGCCTTTCAACATTTTCATTTCGTCATGTCAGGCTCGGACCGGCAAATTATTATCTGGAATCCATATACGCAGAAAGCAATGAATTACCTCCAAGGGTGAAAGCCTCAGACCTGACGGAACTTGGAACCTGTTGGAACCTGTTGGAACCTGTTGGAACCTGATCGACCTGATGGAGTGTTGCAATATGTTGCAATCAGATGCAATCAGATGCAATCAGTGCGTCCACGTGCGTCTGGGAAAGCCTCAGAAAGCCGGCTCACAGTGAGAGGCACAATGCTCCCGTGCTTGATGTGTTGGTCAATGAAGCGCAGCATGTGCCTCAGGGCATCAGCATCTCAAAGCATCTCAGAGCTCCTTGAGTGGAAATAGCCGAAATAGCGTTTGAGAATGAGATAGAATCAATCGATTTGAACGATTTGAGATGTGTTTGAGATCTTTTTAGGTAATATCAATATATTTTGGCGGTGTTGCAGTCTTTAAGAGCTTGCGCAACTGGTGTAGGTGGTGTTGATGTTGCTGGCGTCGCGACAGCTCAGGCACCAACTTATCTCCATGTCAGTTGACAAGGTTGTAAAGGCCGATGCTGTGGTGCTTGCCATTGAGTTTGCGAAGAGATGGAATAAGCATGAAACAAACTAATGCTTACTAAGTAATATAAGTATATACATAATGATTTATATTCTATACTAGTACAATACAAATAATACAAACGCACACTGTACAACTTCCAAAGTGACATTGTCAGGTTTGGGATATACTGAATTATCAGTGCATCCAGACCTTCACGGACAAGACTGAATACAAACCCGAGGTGGGCCCAGCTCCGTTACCAGAGATGCCATGAGTGATGAGATGCCATGCACGTATATGCAACATAGATGCAACATATGCAAACGGCAAAACCATGCGTCGTCATGTGCAATGCAAATAGTTCAACGCATGTCGCACGTGACTCCCTCTGAGGACAGGTTGACATGCATGGCTTTCGATGAAGAAGGCACTGACACTGTGCCCAAACTCTCACCACGGAGTAAAAACAGCAGTGTTTGAGGGCCTTTCTACAGCCCTGCTACAGCTCTCCGCAGGTCCAGCTTTAGTGCTTTGCTCCAGCTTGATCAATGTTCTCCCTGTCAGCGTGAAGGCATGGACCAAGACGCATGTACGGTGAAATGATCAATATTGATCAATGTACATTTCCAGGTAGAAACGAGTCGCACACATTTGGCGCCCATTGCTTTCCACTTAGCCAAGGGTTGGGCAGTTGAAGGCCTCAATTTCTTGCAAGTCTGAAATTCATAGCAACGTAGTCAACGTAGTGATTGCAAAGCACCCAACAAGCAATGTGACCATGTGCGGCACCAAAGGTTGGAGCGCTCCACAACGATGTGTTCCACCAGATCATTTCTGGAGATAACATGGGAACCATTTCAGTGGGAAGCTCATGGCGGGCATCCTGAAGTGAAGTGGGAATCTCGTGCGCTGCAATTGCTGTAATGCTGGAGTTTGCCAAGTTTGCTCCAGGTGTGGGACATCCAGACTGGAAAGCTGGAATTTGAGTTTCGACGTGCTCACCAGGCACTCCAAACATCTTGTCATCACGTCTAGTGCGCGTTCAAATGCAATTATTTGACCTTCACAGACTATGAATGATCATGTAAGCACACATGATCACACACCGATATTTGCTGATCCCGGGGCGAGGCTTGTTTGAGATTGCTCCTGTCTTTTGCCAAGGATCACAAGATGACTTGCATGGCCTTTGACCGGTCAAAGCGATGTCTTTATACAGGGGGAGAGGCGGGGAGGGGCATCGAGCGCCTGGGTGTGCCTGGGAAAAGTCGGAGGCCACGCCGGTTGGTTTTGACCGTGTGCAGGAAGGGGCTGTCAAACTTTGGAATTTCTCTTCCGGACAGCAGCGGGGCACTCGGCACTTGGCAAGCCATACGGCACACATATTCTGGAACGGAGCAACCGCTGGGGTGTTCTCAGTCTTTTTCAATTCTTGGAGCTATGATTTGTTTGCATTATGTCACAGTTATGTCACTATGTTGTTTCGTGTTGCATCCCAGTTTCACAGATCTTCACTGCACATGTCCCCTGAGATTGCGCACGTTCACCATGAAGCAGCCGGCAGAGATCCGCAGCCCGGCCCTTGAACTCGCCAATTTGACCTCTCCCAATCTGTTCTTTGAAAGTCTTGCATCGCTTTCCATTGTGTTCGCTTTGCAATGTTTTGTCATTGCTACAGGCCTCTTGTGGGCCAAAGAAGGTCCTAATAGCTTTGTGGTTGGACTGGCATGGGACAGGCGCTGCACGGATCCATGCATAAAAAAGACGAAGTCTGCTGAAGTGTGCGAAGCCAATGCATATCTTTTTCAAAAACTTTGCAGCAGGCGCATTTATGTATGGCCTGACAGCCGGAAGCAAATCGTTTGCTACTTAAAGACTCAGGGAACAACAGTGGAACAAGAGGCAGGTCTGATAGTTTCTTTTTTCAGAGACTGTGGAGTGGAAGCACAGTTTTGCATGTATGAGGTTCAATTCAGAAGGCAACGATTGTGGAACTGTAGACCGTTGAAAAGTGTATTGGAACGTGCGTTGTAGTTGGCTCAGTTTTCAGTTTCTGCTTCAGCCAGCCCAGGTGGAACCTCAGTATGTGCTGGAAGACTTCACCGGACAAGGGCATACGGACTGGGAAATTCTGCTGTGAAGCTGTGGGGCACAGTCAGCATCATAGCCTCATAGCTGCTGTAGCTCAGGATTTTCAAACGATTCTCAAGTTTTTCACTAGTAACTAGTAGTTCTCACTGTTCTATGTAGTTCTCATACTAGTAATATCTAGTGATACTTAGATATTTAAGGGCTAACGCCCCTCGTCGGCTCCGCCGGATTTCTCGGCCCTCCATTTCATCGCAGTGTGGGGGCTGGAAAGCTTTTGGATGGGGACCTGCTTCAGAAATATATTCCTTACGTTTTTTGAAAAAAAAAGAACAGGAACTTTGTTGGAAATAGACGGCTTTTTTGGGGAGCAAGTGAGTGCCCGAAAGCTCCTGCCAAGGGTTTTTCCCGAAGAACTGCTGCCAATTTCAACTTGTGACTTCATGTCAAGACGCCTCTGTGCAAAGACTTCTCTGTGTAAAAGCTTTTGTGTGTAAAAGTTTCTGTGTGTAAAAACCACTTTGTGTAAAGACTTCTTTGTGTAAAAGCTTCTATGTGTGAAAGCTTCTCTGTGTGAAATGTCTGTGTAAAGAGTTCACTGTGTGTAAAAGCTTCGGTGTGTAAAAACTCTCTGTGTAAAGTGTAAAGGCTTCTCTGTGTAAAAGCCTCTGTGTGTAAACGCGTCTGTGTGTGAAAGCTATATATCTGTGTAAAGACTTCTTTGTGTAACAGCTTCTGTGTGTAAAGGCTCCTAGACGTTTGTGTGCAAAAGCTCCTTGGAGTAAAGACTTCTCTGTGTAAAACCTTCTGTGTGTAAAAAGCTCCTTTGTGTAAAGACTTCTCTGTGTAAAAGCCCCTGTGTGTGTAAATGCTTTTGTGTGTAAAAGCTCCTCTGTGTAAAGGCTTCTCTGTGTAAAAAAAGTTTCTGTGTGCAAACACGTCTGTGTGTAAAAACCCTCTCTGTCAGGCCTTCTTCGTGTAAAAAGTTTTGTGTGAAAAAGCTCCTAGACGTTTGTGTGCAAAAGCTCCTTAGGGTAAAGACTTCTCTGTGTAAAACCTTCTGTGTGTAAAAAGCTCCTTTGTGTAAGGACTTCTTTGTGTAAAAGCCCCTGTGTGTGTAAAAGCTTGCTGTGTGTAAACGCTTTTGTGTGTAAAAGCTCCTCTGGCTGAAGGCTTCTCTGTGTAAAAGCTTTTGCGTGTAAAAGTTGCTGTGTGTAAAAACCACTTTGTGTAAAGACTTCTTTGTGTAAAAGCTTCTGTGTGTGAAAGCTTCTCTGTGTGAAAGCGCGCCTGTGTAAAGATTTCACTGTGTAAAATTCTCTGTGTAAACGCTTCTCTGTGTAAAAGATTCTGTGTGTAAACGCGTCTGTGAATGAAAGCTATATATCTGTGTAGAGACTTCTTCGTGGAACAGCTTCTGTGTGCAAAGGCTCCTAGACGTTTGTGTGCAAAAGCTCCTTAGAGTAAAGACTTCTCTGTGTAAAACCTTGCGGCCAGGTTTTGGCAAAAACGGCCGTTTCCCAATGATCCCAGAAGAGAAATTCAATAGCCGGCCGAGGGGCCGCCAAATGGCAGAAATTTGCTTCCAAAAGGCTCCCGGCCAGGATTTGGGCAAAACCGGCCGTTTCCCAATGATCCCAGAAGAGAAATTCAATAGCCGGCCGAGGGGCCGCCAAATGGCAGAAATTTGCTTCCAAAAGGCTCCCGGCCAGGATTTGGCCAAAAACGGCCGTTTCCCAATGATCCCAGAAGAGAAATTCAATAGCCGGCCGAGGGGCCACCAAATGGCAGAAATTTGCTTCCAAAAGGCTCCCGGCCAGGATTTGGGCAAAAACGGCCGTTTCCCAATGATCCCAGAAGAGAAATTCAATAGCCGGCCGAGGGGCCGCCAAATGGCAGAAATATGCTTCGAAAAGGCTCCCGGCTAGGATTTGGCCAAAAACGGCCGTTTCCCAATGATCCCAGAAGAGAAATTCAATAGCCGGCCGAGGGGCCGCCAAATGGCAGAAATTTGCTTCCAAAAGGCTCCCGGCCAGGATTTGGGCAAAAACGGCCGTTTCCCAATGATCCCAGAAGAGAAATTCAATAGCCGGCCGAGGGACCACCAAATGGCAGAAATTTGCTTCCAAAAGGCTCCCGGCCAGGATTTGGCCAAAAACGGCCGTTTCCCAATGATCGCAGAAGAGAAAAAATAAAAAAAACAAAAAAAACTCAAAAACCAACATAAATTCAATTCAATCGAGCTTAGGCCCCCCATCTGCAGCCGGCCGAGGGGCCGCCAAATGGCAGAAATTTGCTTCCAAAAGGCTCCCGGCCAGGATTTGGCCAAAACCGGCCGTTTCCCAATGATCCCAGAAGAGAAATTCAATAGCCGGCCGATGGACCGCCAAATGGCAGAAATTTGGTTCCAAAAGGCTCCCGGCCAGGATTTGGGCAAAAACGGCCGTTTCCCAATGATCCCAGAAGAGAAATTCAATAGCCGGCCGAGGGGCCGCCAAAGGCAGAAATTTGCTTCCAAAAGGCTCCCGTGTGTAAAAAGCTCCTTTGTGTATAGACTTCTCTGTGTAAAAGCCCCTGTGTGTGTAAAAGCCTGCTGTGTGTAAATGCTTTTGTGTGTAAAAGCTCCTCTGTGTAAAGGCTTCTCTGTGTAAAAGCTTCTGTGTGTAAATGCGTCTGTGTGTAAAAACCCCTCTGTGTAAAGACGTCTTCGAGTAAAAAGTTCTGTGTGAAAAAGCTCCTAGACGTTTGTGTGCAAAAGCTCCTTGGAGTAAAGACTTCTCTGTGTAAAATCTTCTGTGTGTAAAAAGCTCCTTTGTGTAAGGACTTCTCTGTGTAAAAGCCCCTGTGTGTGTAAAAGCTTGCTGTGTGTAAACGCTTTTGTGTGTAAAAGCTCCTCTGTGTGAAGGCTTCTCTGTGTAAAAGCTTCTGTGTGCAAACGCGTCTGTGTGTAAAAAGCCCCTTAGAGTAAAGTCTTCTCTGTGTAAAAGCTTCCGTGTGTAAAAAGCTCCTTTGTGTAAAGACTTCTCTGTGTAAAAGCCCCTGTGTGTGTAAAAGCTTGCTGTGTGCAAATGCTTTTGTGTAAAAGCTCCTCTGTGTAAAGGCTTCTCTGTGTCAAAGCTTCTGTGTGCAAATGCGTCTGTGTGTAAAAACCCCTCTGTGTAAAGACTTCTTGGCGTAAAAACTTCTGTGTGAAAAAGCACCTAGATATTTGTGTGCAAAAGCTCCCTAGAGTAAAGACTTCTCTGTGTAAAACCTTCTGTGTGTAAAAAGCTCCTTTGTGTATAGACTTCTCTGTGTAAAAGCCCCTGTGTGTGTAAAAGCCTGCTGTGTGTAAATGCTTTTGTGTGTAAAAGCTCCTCTGTGTGAAGGCTTCTCTGTGTAAAATAAGCTTCTGTGTGCAAACGCGTCTGTGTGTAAAAAGCTCCTTTGTGTATAGACTTCTCTGTGTAAAA